CGCACAACATGATCTACTCGACCACCATTATGGTTACCGCCAAAAAAAAAAAAAACGGTCACCTGGTTGCCGAGTTCACGAAGTGAATTGGCTTATTTTACAACGTCGTTGCCAAGCGACGAAAACCCAACCCCGATGTCAAACACCGGGGGGGGCGGAGCGTGGGGGGGTACTCATGTTTTGCATGCCTTAGCGATTACACCATGGCTCCAAAATGTCTTTCGCTCATATATCTATCCTATCGACAAAATTTACCCCTTTTCAACCCATTTCCTATGTCCCAGTACAGCTACCGTCTTCTCCTGGCTACTCCATGCCTTAAACATCCGCTGTATCTTCGTTCCACTTTTCGCAGCTCAGCCACATACACTTCCCTCCCTCGTACAACGGACATTCCGCGACTTCATGAAAATCCGGTCTTCGCACTCGGAGCCGCATTCACAGTTGAACATGACCATGTGTGGGGGGTAAAGTGGGCGTTCACCGTTCCAGCAGGTGGTCATCCTTACAGCTGGATATGACCACGTAAACTGCACATTCATGTAAAAACGTGTTTTGTGTGCCAACGAAAGTCAACGAGTAACCGTCGCGGGGATGGGTCGGGATGGGATGGGATAGGGTGGGATGGGAAGGCATGTTTTGCAATCCCCCCAAAACACAGAATTGATGCTTTCGTGCGGCGCTCACCAACGTGTAGCGCACACAACTGATGCGCCTCGAACAGCGTCGTAGGGTATGGTGGTGATGATCAACTACCCATCCACCATGTTCTTCGCATACAAACAGTATACTTGGCATCTTCCTCTCGTCCTCTTGTCCTCTCTATGGCACACGACAAGACAGCAAAGGCAAAGCCATGATAGGCAAAGCTAGCTGAAAACCATCCCCACTAAATTATCTTGTTACTTATCAGCTTCAAAACCATCCACACATCTTGTTTATCCATCTACATCAGAGAACAGCACGGTGCAACATAAAACCGGGGTGCTGTGTGCTGCGTATCTCTCCCTCACCTGCCGACGCTCTTGGGGACGACCTCCTGCTGTCTCCTGGGTCGATCTGGGCTGCCAGAGTCGCTGTGACTTGTGGCCTGCACAAATCACGACGACAGAAAAAAATTAGTTGGCGTGCACGTGCGGGGGTTAGGGGGGTCGTACGGGAGCTACTGTAAAACTTCACACGGAAACACGGCCGATATCTAGTTTTTTTTTTCCATTGGTGTAATGACATAAGCGAGAGTTAAAATTATATCATGTACACGGAAACGCGGCCGACATCTAGTTTTTTTTTTCATTAGTCATGACACAAGCAAAAACGTGAGGCACGTGTCGGATGTTTTACGGTACACTCCGCGGAAAGGTACACCGTCTAGTCCACCCGCCCTCGCTGCTATCGCCCTTCGGCTCGGCTCACCCTCCTCCCTTCAACCATGCATCCAAACACTGGAAAACGCTATGAAAAAGCACCAGAGCAACACAGCAGTTGCCTTAGATTACGTGTGTCAGGGTTAACAGTCATTCTGTCTGAACTGAACCAGCGAACCAACCACAACATGTACAGGGGGGGGGGGGG